TATATGTGGTTCTGCTCTCTTTCACCTTCAACAAACCTGGCTCTGTTTTCCAAATACATTCAAGGCACTGGGCAGCAGATCTCATCATACAGCTTCCAACCTCCTAGTGGAAACTTAGTATTCACATCCAATCCTGTCTGAGACAGATGTCCTCAACCAGAGCATATGAAGCTGCCTGAATCTGACATTTGGCTATTTTCATTTTGCCCAAAGAAGGCATTTTAAAGTTGATTTCTGCTTTGTCAGACAATAAACTCCTTCACTGAGTATCATTTTTTCTTCTTTTTACTTCTTCAAACTTCAGCCTGTAAAAGAGAGAAACAACAGGACTCAACTGTGTAATACAAAAGTAATAAATGTGTACAGGTCAGGATAGGTTAGGAAAAGTAGTCAAGCCTACCTACCATATATATTCATTTCTTCCTTTTATGTTTTTCTCAACCTTGAGAGTCTTTGCCTTTTTTCTATAATCTAGTGTTCCTGTCTGTCTAACTAGACCACCTAACTCTGTGTCCTGACCCCATAAGAAAATGTCCATTCATAAACTAAGCCCTACTTCTAAAAACATTTTTTTAGTTCAGGTTTTAGCCATTTCTTTAGAGGACAGCATTTTAAATATCAATGTCAAACTGCTAATAACTCAACAATTAATTTGAGGTCTGTTTTAGGAACATTTACATATCTAAAGGAAAGGACTTAATATGCAAAGATTCATTAAAGTGTTTGGCCTTTTTTGCACAGCAGTATACATATAGAAATTAGTTAAAGGAAACAATTTTTATGTATTTTTAAAAACTCATGCAAATACATATAGATATGTATATCAGGACTGTTTATAATATTTAAATAAAAAATCTAATTGTCCAGGAATAGCTAAATAGATTTCAGCACAATAGAACTATGTGCAATTATGCAAAATCATGTAGAATTATGCAGCAATTAACAATTATGTTTATTAATAGTTCATGCATTCATTAAAAATTCACATTTCATCTTCAGGATGCTAAAATTTATTAATAAAGTTATAAATATAAACATTCATACACATGATTATATGAAATTTAGAAAATTTACAATTCCCTAAATAGTAATAAGTAATATGTTCTGTGATCATATGGATTATTTTTCATACTGACACTGAACTCACTTTCTAACTTTTCTGTGAGGAAATGTATATTTTCCTTATGTACTAGGACAGAACTTTATTTTGCAAAACCACAGCATATATTATAGTAGAAAGCAAGTACAAGGTAGAAAATAATATACTTACTCCTATATATCCATAAGATTTTAACATGATGGTGCCTGCCGTCGAAGTCAAACAGTCTGAAGGGGAGGCGTGGAGCTGAATATATGTACAACTCACTCTGAGAGGACGCCCCACATTGGGCGCCAGATGTAAGGTGCCGCACATTTTCTTTGGGTGAAGTGAGAGAACAAAAAACACAGACAACACAGACAGACAATGGCTGCAGCCCCGATGTGGCGCAGCACCTTTATTTTTATACTGCCTTTCTCGGACCTCAGCCAAGTGCTATACTCATCTTTCCCTTCTGGGGGGGGCGGGGGGGCAGGCCAGAAGCAGGGGCAGTGTTTTCACTCGTCCTCAAGGTCTCCCTATTTTCAGAGTGAGGAGTCTTGGCTCTTCTTCGAGGGCAAGATACGTTTTTGTGGGCAGATAACTTCCAAGGACTGCACCGGTTGTTCTCAAGCTGGTGCTTTCCTGTGCTGTGTTCAGGCATGGGGGAAGGTGCTTTCCTATTCTGCCTTCAGATATGTGAGAAGACAAAGGCCGTTCCCTACATTTTAACAGATATGTTTCTGCATATTATATAAATAGATTCATATATTAGTAATTATAACAAATCAAGAACATACTGAATGCTATTTTATAACCAGCTTTATTAACTTAATGGCTTATTAAAGTCTCCTGTATACCATTAACAATTATACCACAGAGACTTAGGTAATTTAAATATTAAAGTGTGAACACCACTAGACTAGTAGGTCTAATGTATACCTGTTAATTTAAAATAAAATTTTCTCTAGAAATCAGTTTCCAAAGAGGGGTTGATGAACCAAAGGACATGCTAACTTTTAGGGCTCTAAGAGTCTTACAGTTAGAAATATTAAATAATCTGGTATATTTAGCTATATCTGAAAGTTCCCACTTGTCTTGCCAAGTGCCAACACTAGATAATTCTACAAAAACATCTATAAAAACAAAACTTTGCTATAGAAAACAATGATCATGGTAACTTTTTAAATTTGACAAAGTAGTAGCCACTTACTCTTTTAAGGTATGTTTTCTTTATTAAATGTAAATTTGGATATTTTTTCACTCGTGTATTAACACTATATTTTTATTTGGTGAATTTCCTTTGCATATCTCTCACCAATTTTATATTAGAGCTTACATTTTTATACTAATTTTAATTTTTTTGTGAAAGAAAATGTAATTTGAAGATAAGCAATTATAAATAATGTTTTATAGAAAAACAGCCATGTTCATTTGCTTATATATTGTTTATGTTACTTTTGTTCTTCAACTATAGATTAGTTGTGACAGAATTTTATAACTTGCAGATGTAAATGCTATCTGACTCTCTGAGAAAATATTCAACACTGATCAGAGAGAAGCAGAAAATAAAAGGGAAAAATGTTCTCTCTGTCTCTCTCTCTCCATGTATGTATGTATATCTTTAAAACTTCATCAGTTTGTTGATATATACAATATAGCTCTTGCTAGAATTTTGACTGGAATTGCACTGAATTTATAGATCAAGTTGGAAAGGACTGACATATTGACAATACTGAACCTTCCTACCTATGACATGGAATATCCAGGCATTTATTAAGCTTTTATTTGATTTCATTAATCAGAGTTTTGTAGTTTTCCTCATACAGATTTTGCACACATTTTGTTAGATCTATGCCTCAGCATTTCATATTTTTGTTGTGCTAATGTAAACGGATTGTGTCTTTAATTTTAAATTTAATTTTTTATTCTTGATATATTGGAAAACCATTGACTTTTGTATATATTAGCCTTGTATTAAAAATATATTTTTTAAATTTTTCTTGAGCTTTCTATTTGATCAGTGTGTTATTTGAAAGTGTGTTGTTTCATCTCCATGTATTTTGGGATTTTCCAGTTCTCTCTCTGTTACTGATTTCTGGTTTAATCCGTTGTGGTCTGATAATAAGCACTGTATGATTTCTATTCGTTTAAATTTGTTAAGCTGTTTTATGGCCAAGAATATGGTCTATCTTGGTGAATGTTCTGTGTGAGCTTGAAAAGAATGTGTTCTCCACTGTTGTTGAATGAAGTCCATAAATGTCAATTTTATCCAGTTGATTGATGTATTGCTGAGTTCAACTGTATCCTTACTGATTTCCTACCAGCTAGATCTGTCCATTTGTGATAGAGGGATATACTTATATATCCCTCTTATATACTGGATTCAACTGTTTCTCTTTGCAGTTCCATTAGTTTTTGAATCATGTATTTTGATTTTGTATTGTTAGGCACATACATATTAAGGACTATTATGTCTTCTCAGAGAATAAACTCCTTTATGATTATCTAATGCTCCTTCTTTATCTCTGATAATATTTTACCTCTGAATTCTTATTTGAAATTAATATAACTAACTCTAGCATTTCTTTTCTATTAATATTAGCCTAGTATATCTGTATTCTTGATTTACTTTTAATTTATATATGTCTTTATATTTAAATTGGGTTTCTTATAAACAATAAATAGATGGGTCTTATTTTTTTATTCACTCTGACATCACTTTTAATTGACATGTTTAGGCCATTGACATTCCAACTGATTGTTGATATAATTGGATTAATTTCTACTATAATTGTTACTATTAACTACTAATTGCCCTGTTTTTATTCCTATTTTTGTCTTCCATTCTTTTTTTGCCTTTTGTGGTTATAAGTGAGCATTCTATATGATCCCATTTTCTTTCCTTTCTTAGCATATCAGTCATACCTGTTTTTTGTTTGTTTTTGGACAGGAAGTAGGTTTTATTGGTAAGGATGGCCTTTATGAGTTCATGGCCCACTATTTGTCTAGGGTCTATGATTAGAAATATGTTTAACCTCACAGCCATCTCAGACAAGCCACTTTTCAGCTACCATGTCTTCAAATCCAACCACATTAAACTTGGTAAAGCCACCCTTCTTGGGCATATGGCCCGTCAGGATGTTAGGTAACTTGATGCTGTATAAGGCCTAAGTCATATGCTTTTTGTCTGTAGCTTGGTGCAGATGGACCTGATGACTTAGCCTGTGTATCATGGCCACTGTGCCCAGGGGCCAAAATTACATACCTGTCCAGAGCCTAGAGTGGGGACAGCTTGAGGGTCACTAGAAATAGCTGTTTCAATGTCCCTTAGGGAACCCTTTATATAAGCAACAGTCTGCATACACTACCAAGGAGACTGCTGTTTGCAGCCATTGCATATCAGACCCCACAGAGAAAACAGCATCAGCTTAAATGGCCACTGTTTTTTACTTTTTTTAGTGCTTGTCCTGGAGTCTGAAATATACATTTACAGCTGATCCAAATCGATTTTCAAATAACACTGTGCACATAATGGGCAGTGTATCTTATAATAAAGTAATCCTAATTCCTCCTTCCCATTTCTTGTATTACCACTGTCATTCATATTTCACTTATTCATAAGAAAATATACATATAAAATACACATAGGCATATAATCACATAAATTATTGATATTAAATTTAACAAACTGTTAACTGATCAATGAATAATAAGAAATATAAACATTTTTATTTTATAAAACTATTTATTCTTTGATGCTATTTCTTTATGTTCATCTGAGTTTCTCACCTGTATTATTTTATTATTTTCCTTCTCTCCAAAGAAATTCCTTTAACATTTCTTGCAGCACAGTTCTACTGGCAACAAATTCCCTGTTTTTGGTTGTGTGAGAACATCTTTGTTTCTCCACTTTTGAAAGCTAGTTTCATATAGCATTCTGTTTTGGTAGTTGTTTTCATTTTTGTGTTTTCTCCTAGTACTTTAATTATTTCACTCCACTTTCTTCTTGCTCCTGGTTTCTTGAGGAAAAGTTGGGTTCAATTCTTGTTTTTGTTCTCTTGGTAAGGTGTTGATTTTTCCACTCTGGTGACTTTCAGGATATTTCAATATATTTGATTTTTTGTCATTTGAAAATGGTATGCCCAGGGGGAATTTTTTGGCCTTTATCTGCTTGGTGTTCTATAAGCTTCTTGGAATCAGTGGTTTTGTGTTCGATATTAATTCAAGGATATTAGCAGGAATTATTACATCACACTTTTCTTCTGTTCTTTTCTCTTTTTCTTCCCCTTCTGGTACTCTGATTACACATATGTTACACATTTTGTGCTTGTTTCACAGTCTTTGGATAATCTGTTCTGTTTTGTCCAGTCTTGTTCACTTGGCTTTTTGCTTTCATGGTTCTATTGATACATCCTCAGAGATACATAGCTCAGAGATTCTTTCCTCAGCCACATTCTTTTTACTAAAAAGCCCATCAAAGGCATTCTCATAGTTGTCTTAAATTTTTGGTGTGATAATTCCAACATCTGTGCTGTGTCTGATTCTGATGTTTGCTATGTCTCTTCAAAGTGTGTGTTATTTTTTTGTTTTTTTTTACCTTTTGGTATGCCTGGTGAATTTTTTCTTAGTAGTGGGATGTAATGTACTGGGTAAAGGAATTGCTATAAATTGACCTTTATAATATGGTGTGAGAAGAGGTGGGAAAGGAAGCATCCTATGATTAAGTCTGTGGATAAAATGAGAGTTCCTGTGGCCAGGATTCTCACCTGGCCTTGGTTGACTAGCTCACTGCACACCTGTGGGCAATACATGGCTGTTGACTCTTTATAAAGAGTTCCACCCGGTGCTCAGTGACAGGGCTGCAAGGCTGCAGGAGAGCAGAGCAGAGGCTGGAGTGGTGGCAGTGCCGAGGACAGAGGCCCAGAGGATGGCTGTGCGGACAGAGGGGCCCAGAGGCAGAGACCGGCTTGCTGCACACAGACTCACTCTGAGTGAACGGGATTCTAGTGACTGACCTGCCACCTGGAAATAAAGTTGGCTATAACCCTTTCACCCCAAGAACGTTTTGCTGTCAATTTCTTTGGTCACATTGAATCCATAGCAAACTTGCCCAGGGCTTAAACCCATTGGCAAGACAAGGTCTCAGTGTTTCAGGGAGCTTGTGAGACCAAAAAATGACAATGGAAAGTTCTTGGGGTGAAAGGGTTTATACCCAACTTTATTCCCATGGTGGCAGGTCAAGTGCTGGAATCCCATCCACCTCAGAGAAAGTCTGCATGCACCCAGCTGGTCTCTGCCTCTGGGCCTCTCTGCCCAGCAGCTGTATCAGTCTCTGTCCTCGGTGTTGCCACCACTCCAGCCTCTGGTCTACTGCAGCCATGCAGCCCAGAACATTGGGTGGAGCTCCTTACACAGAGTCAATAATTACCTATTGCCCACACCTGTGCAGTGGGCAAGCTGACCAGGGTCAGGTGAGAATCCTGGCCGTAGGAAGCTTCATTTACTCTACAGACAGGACGGCTGTAGTTGGGCAGGAGTTTGGTATTTTTCCCTTTTGATGGGCCAGTTAGGTGTGATAACTGATAACACCCCAGGAAGTTATGCTCTGGTTAATTAGTTTCCCCTGAAGCTGGGCCTTGTTAAGAACAGAGGGCTCTTTGGTATTGCAAAATGGCTCCTTTTCCCTCCAGCTCTGCCAGAAGCCTAAGGGGATTTTCCCCTAGATTTTTACTATGAGAACCTGGTTAAGCTTCTTGAGGTCAGTCTCACAAAATTGTGGGGTCCCCCACGACTGGGTGCCCTTCAGGTTTTAACTCACAGACTTGTCCCTAACGAGCCTCCCACAATTCATCAGTTGCAGTTCAGGTTTTCCTGCTCCATCGCGGCTTCCTGCACGTCGGCTCCGGTAAGCCACGGCTCCTCATATTCTCCTGTCTGTTTCTCCAGTCTTGAGGGCAGTGTTTTGCCCTGTGTCCTCCCATCTTGACCATCCAAGAAGAGCTGATCCTTCAGTCTGTTCAGTTTTGTTCTTGTAAGTATGGAGGGCTGACTTCCAAGCTCCACACATGTGGAACTGGAAAGCAGATCCCATCTTTTTTTATATAATAAACTTTTTCTTTGAGAATAGTTAGACATTTATAGAAAAGCTACAAAGTATTACAGAGTTCCCATGTATACCATAACCAATTTCTTCAATATTAACATTTTATATCAATATGATATATTTGTCACAATATTAATCCAGACAAAAGGTGTGCTCTTATTTTGTTTTCTTTTTCTCTTCCATTCATCCTTCCTTTCTTTCCTGAATCTCAGACTTTCATTTTTGGGTCATTTCTTCATTTTCAAGTACATTTCTCAGCAGTTCCTTCAGTTTGTTGGTTCTGGATTGCAATATTGTTAGCCTTTGTTTATATTTAAATGATTTTATTTTTATATTGATTCTGAAAATATATATATATATAAATACAGATTTTACTCATTGCATTGCACAACCATTTTTACATATATAAAGTTTTTCCTCTTTTTTTTTTACTATTATGTACTTAGTTGAATTCCATATTGAGTAATTTTATAGCATGCATTGTTCTGCAGTGTATCTGAAATATTTTATTTTAGAAGACTTTAAGGTAAAGATTTTTTTAAATTACCCAAACATGTTGTGAAAGAAATGATTTTTCACTCCTTCTGAGACTAAAACCAAGGCATCTACAAAGATGTAAACTCAGAAAAGCATCCTATTTCTGCTCCTTCATAATTTAATATTATAGGTATACACAATAATGACTATGATAATTTGGGAACAAAACACATTGACCTATGAACTCTCTACACAACCACAAAGCCAGCTCAGGGGGTCATGATCCATACTACTCCCTTCCCCTCTTCTCATATCCTATTGACTCTGACATGCCAATTGCAGTACACTAAATCTTTGTCCAAATGTTTTAAGGATTTTTTGAAAAGACAAAGCTCTGTATTTCTTGGACTGAGTTTGATGTACCACTATGATTTATATTCAGTTATGAGTTAATGTTTAACAATGTTAAGTTTAGATTTATATATTTCGTCATTCTGATTGGGTAAAGAAAATAGAATTGGAGTGATTATAAAGGCAGGAAATCAGTTCAGGCAAAAGATGAATCCTTGAGAAAGGACACTGATTGTTGTGCCATATTTTAAATTTATGTTCAAGAAAGAATTGCTAGAGTTTACACCAGTGCAGGTGACTTGAGTGAGATGATAAAAAAGGACAAAGCAAATAAGTCTAAATCAAGCGTTTTGTTGAATATTTTAATTATGGTGCCATTTAATGAGACAATAAAGAAGGTGTATGTATTTAAACAATGTTATTGGGATCTTTTCAGGCATTCAGATTGCAGTATGCCTCTGTTCAGCAGGTATCCAAATATATTAATCTGTTCCTTGTATGATGTATGAACAGAAGACAGATTTAAGCATAATCAGCTATGGTTGGTTCTTGATGAGATTACCCATAAATAGTAGATAGGGTCCTTCTACTTTCTCAGAAAAGATAACTTAATATATGCTGCAGTTAGTCTAATTTTTGATAATGTTTTTTTACTATCAGATACGTTTCTCTACCAGTACATCAACTATCAATGTATCTATCTGTAAGTCTTCCTAGATAGAATTTATGAATAGCAGTCATCAAAGTAAAATCTAAATTGAAGATGGCAGCCCTATTTTTTTCTTGCACAATATCCATTTGTCAATAACCTGTTGTTATATGCCATGGGAGACTCCCTAATTTAGAAAGCAATTGCAAGAGATTATTAAAATTCTCAATACAAATCAGTTATAAATATATTTCACTCTTTAGAAAACAAAACATTATCACACTGTCAGTGTATGTGAATTTAAAAAAAGAATATGAATTTCTTTGGTGTATGTACATAGCTAATGTTTGAGACTGCCCCTCTCAAATCTTGAAATGAATCATTCTAAGAAGACTTTGTCCAGATCAGTCTAGCAAGCAAGTCTCTTGTTCAGTGAACCTCCTTTCTCCACTGAGATCTATAAATATTGTCCTCTTAAAAAATTTTGAAAGACCAATCTGTCTTAAGTGCTTACTGTTATTAGATATGGTTAAGTCCTTTCATTTCAAAATTTCCATCTCTCTCTCTCTCTCTCTCTGTTTTTTCCTCTTTGTATGTCATAAAAGAAAAACTAGTTTTAAAAAATACTAATCTCCACTTAAGTTCTGTGAAACTCTGAAAACACTGAAATACAGTAGAAATAGGATAGGAAATAGTGACTATTCATCATTAAACAGTAAAGATGTGGTTAGAATTGCCTTTGCTTTTAATTTAATAACCAAGGCCTATTTATGAGTAAATACACTATAGAGTTACTCTTAGTGATAAATATCATCTCATAGTCATATAAATGTAAGTAGAATGTTTTAGGAAAATATTAGAC